GATTGCCCAACCTTCCTTCCGAGGAGTGACTGGTGGGTTTGAACCGCCAGCCTTCTGGTTAGCAGTCAAGTGCCTTAGCCACTATGCTACCAGAGCTCCCAAAGATACCATTAGGGTCTACCAAATAGCATCAACACTCTGAGCATCATAGCCGGTGAACCAATCAGTAGCTTGTAAGATTATAACTGATGCACCTTCTGACAATGGGAGCCATCTCATAGGTTTGGTGATACCTGGGTTATTTGTATGGATGTGGTTAGCTTGTTCCCAGTAAAGGGGAGAAATCTGACTTAGCCTCTCCACTTGGGAAACTAACCAGATGAACCTCTCCCATGTTTGTTGATATGGACCTACAATATGAAGAGTACTGCTTGTGGGTTTGGAAGATTCTTTAACTAGTTCTTCTTGGGCAAATTTATTTAGTAAAGTAGGGGTTATGTTAAGACTGATGGTTAAGTTATGGCTAGGTTTCGTTCAGAGCTGAAAAATGGCCATCTATCAATGGAAAATCTAGTAATAGTGATTTCCTGTAGTGATGGACTATTTCTCCATTGTTCTTATATCCACAGAACCAGAGCAACCCAATCAGATCCCTGTAGTGGAAAAGCCCTCCAGGGAGGCCAGACTGACTTAAGGTTGGGAGGGGACCACATATCTATCAATTAAATCTTTAAATTGTGTGCATAAACATCTGCCCAATCTAGGAAAACATTAGTATCAGCAGGACTGTAGCAAAAGTTAAAAAGAAAAGATAAAAATATGCATTTTCAAGTCTGATCCAAGATCTTGGATGAATCATCTGCCTCAGATGTAATCTGTTTCTGTCCACAGGGGAATCTAAAAGTGGCCTTCAATTCTCTGGTATGCTGGCTAGTCCAAAGAGAAGTCTTGGCCTTTTATAACTGTAACAAATGGATACAAGTTTTTATGCCCTCTTATTTGGCTGCATATGGATTGGTGAAGAGGACTAAGTATAGTCCCTTCCAATGAAATTCTAATTAGTCTTTTATTTGATGTCTTTTACAACATACATATTCTCCTGGGGTAATATTAGGCAGACTTTGGGAGTCTAGTTGCTGTTCATCAAATTTTCTCAAACCTGTGAAACATATTCTTCAGAACATCAGATTAAAGACTGACTACACTTCACCAATTTAGCCTGAAAAATGTCAGAGTTGGTACAGGCAACTAAGGGAAGGATCATAGGTCTCCCAGTAGTTATTTCATAGGGAGTAAGTTTGTGAGATCCAAATGGTGTGCACCTCAGTTATAAAATAACTAGGAGTAGGACCTTAGCCCAGGATAAATTTAAGGTTTCACAAAGTTGCTATTTGAGTCTTTATTATTCTATTAGTTTTCTCTACTAAACTAGAAGACTGAGGATGATAGGGAGAATGTAGCCTTTGATAAATGGGAAAAACTCGACACAGTTCTTGGATAACTTGACCAGTGAAATGAGTTCCAAGATCACTATGAAGAGTGTTTGGTGCTCCCAAGGTTGGTGTCAAGAAATTTGTTTGTTATACATGCTGCAGTCACATGATGGCAACAAGGCTTCTACTCAATGTGGAAATCCACAATACTTATTTGTAAACTTTGGAGGGTAGAAACTGAATAAAATCTAGCTGCCATTCAAGCACAGGCCCTGAAGGTAAAGGTATTGTCCCAGTAGCACTGTAAGGTGTTCTCCAAGATTGTCAAGATTGTAGCGAGGGCAAATAGGGCAATGAGTGGCAATATGTTTGGCAGTCACAAATTTTTTTCCCCACTAGTATATTTTTTAAGGTCTCAGTCATTTTATCTCATCCTTGTGGGAACCTTCAAGTAAGGCTAGCATGATAGGAACATGCAGGACATTGTGTAAGACAGTTCTCTTATAAGGCCCAGTTCACAAATTAGTGGCAAGCTCTTGGTAACAGATTGCCTTTTCCATGCTTTTATTTTGTCTGTTTGAATTAATTGTTGGTGTTTTAAAAGTTTTCCTAAAGGTAATTCATGATGGTTGGAATTGTCAGTAGACAAATTTGTGAGTCCCTTTTTTATAAGGACTTTATTATATCAGAAAGTATAATAAGGTATTTTTTATAAGGTATTTATTATACCATAAATGCAGAAATCACTTGAAAGACAACATTTTTGGCTGCCATATCAGCAAGATTATTTCCTCTAATTTCTTCAGTTTTGTGTATTCCCTTCTATTGATGAGGTTGTATTTTTATCACAGCATCTAGAAGATCTGCTACTAAAGCTCTATAGAA